AGCGAATGGCTCCATGTGGGAAGTTATTGGGAAGATCTGAAGAGCATGTTTCTCAGAATCCTGAGCAGGGAGAGACCTGTGAGAGTCAGTGTAGCCTACAAAGGCAGCCGGGAAACCATCCAGGAGAGGGACAGGGTAAATCTAGTTATAGGAGCAGTGGGGTGAAAGCAAACACAGAAACTGTTCAACAGAAAATCCCACATCAACAGTCACCCTGCGCTTGCAGTGACTGTGCAATTCTTATTAAATATGAAAGAGCTCACACAGGAGAGAAACGTTTCAGGTGCTCAGACTGTGGGAAAAGCTTCAGTCAGAGTTCAAGCCTTGTTAGACACAGGAGGACCCATACAGGAAAGAAACCTTTCAACTGCTCTGACTGCGGGAAAAACTTCAGTCGGAGTTCAAACCTTGTTGCACATAGGAGAACCCACACAGGAGAGAAGCCTTTCAGATGCTACTGTGGGAAACGTTCAGAGCTTGTTATCCATAGGAGGACCCACACAGGGGAGAAACCTTTCAATTGCTCTGATTGTGGGAAAAGCTTCAGGAAGAGGTCAAACCTTGTTACACATAGGAGAACTCACACAGGAGAGAAACCTTTCAATTGCTTTGACTGCGGGAGACACTTCAGTCAGAAGTCACAGCTTGTTGCACATAGAAGAACCCACACAGGAGAGAAACCCTTGAGCTGCACTGACTGTGGGAAATGCTTCAGTCGGCGCTCATACCTTATGGATCACCAGATAATACATACAGGAGAGAGACCGCATAACTTCTCAGATTATGGAAAAGGCTTCAAACACAGGTCAGACACTATTAAACATAAAAGAGCCCACACAGTGGAGAAACCCTTCACCATCTCTTATTGCAGAAAAAGCTTCAAGGAGAGGTCAGACTTTGTTAAACATGAAAGAACCCAAATGGGGGAGAAACTCTTCAGTTGCTCAGACTGTGGGAAATGCTTCAGTCGAAGTTCCAACCTTGTTGTACATAGGAGAACCCACACAGGAGAGAAACCTTTCAGCTGTTCTGACTGTGGGAAATGCTTCAGTCGGCGCTCATGCCTTATAGATCACCACACAATACATACAGGAGAGAGACCCCATAGCTGCGCCAATTGCGGAAAAGGCTTCAAACACAGATCAGATGTAATTAAACATAAGAGAGCCCACACAGGAGAGAAACCCTTCAGCTGCTCAGACTGTGGGAAAAGCTTCAGTCGGAGGTCAAATCTTGTTGTACATAGGAGAACTCACACAGGAGAGAAACCCTTCAGATGCTCTGACTGTGGGAAAAGCTTCAGTCGGCATTCAAACCTTGTTGCACATAGGAGAACCCACACAGGAGAGAAACCTTTCAGATGCTCTGACTGTGGGAAAAGTTTCAGTCAGAGTTCAAACCTTGTTGCGCATAGGAGAACCCACACTGAATAGAAACCCTTCACCTGCTTTGACTGTGGGAAAAACTTAAGTCACAGCTCAAATCTTGTTATCCGGAGCCCCTCCTACCAGATCTGTGCCACTGAAGCAGCTGTTTAATAGGCTTCTCCAAAGTCCTTAGATTGAGAAAGTCAAGATGCACAAAATGGAATTGAGCCAGAGGGGAAAGAAGGCAAAAGCAATGATTCCCAAGGATCTACAACAAACCAACATCTCACCAGCATGTCCCACTGAAAGCTGAACTCAGATTGCAGGGTTCAAAGTCTTGGAACCGAGAGGCGGGGTTTTCTCTGAGTACCTGTGAGTCTCGGCTGGAAGAGATAAATAAGCTATTTGGAAATAGGTAATCCTCATGTGATCCCTCCCCTGTCACCCACCTCCAGAGAAGCAGAGGCTAGGGACACGATTCCTACTCATCATGGATAATATGGACCTAACCTCTATGAAGTCATCTAGCCCTTTATTGAACCCCATTAAAATCCTAGACTTCACCACAACCTTTGGCAAGGTGTTCCACAGGTTAACTGTGCACTGAGTGAAGAAAAACTTCCTTTTGTTTGTTTCAGACTTGCTGCCTATTAATTTCATGTGGTGAGCTGTAGTTTTTATATTGTGGGAATAAGTAAATAACTTTTCCTTATTCACTTTGTCCAAACCAGTCATGATTTTATAGACCTTGACCATATCTCCCTTTAGTCTCTTTTCCAAGCTGAAAAGTTCAAGTCTTTTTAATCTCTTTTCATATGGGACTCGTTTCAAACCCCTAATCATTTTTGTTGCCCTTTTCTGAACCTTTTCCAATGCCAATATATCTTTTCTGAGATGAGGCGACCACATCTGTATGCAGTATTCAAGATGTGGGAGTACTATGGTTTTACATAGAGGCATTAAGATATTTTGTGTCTTATTCTCTATCCTTTTTTTTAATAATTCCTAACCTATTTGCTTTTTTGACTGCTGCTGCACACTGAGTGGATATTTCAGAGAACTATCCACAATGACTCCAGAATCTCTCTCTTGAGTAGTTGTAGCTAAACTAGTCCCCATCTAGTATATGTATGTATAGTTGGGATTCATTTTTCCAATGTGGATTACCTTACATTTATCCACATTAAATTTCATATGCCATTTTGTTGCCCAATCACTTAGTTTGGTGAGATCTTTTTCAAGCTCTTCACAGTCTGTTTTGGTCTTAGCTATCTTCAGCAGTTTGGTATCATCTGCAAATTTTGCCACCTCACTGTTTACCCCTTTCTCTAGATCAGTGGTCACAACCAGTAGATGGGGATCTACCAGTAGATCTTGGAGCCTCTGACAGGTTTGGCCAGGAAGTTATCAAGTGCTGGCATGTCAGTTGCCCCTCCCGCAGGGTCATGCTGCTCCTGCCCTCTTCTTTGGAGCTGCCTCCCTGGCAGCTTCCCACTTGCTGTGCAGGTTTTGGAAGTGAGAAGAGGGAGCATGCTGATATCAGGGTGTCCCTCCTCCCCCCACTTCTGTACTTTTATCTCCACACAGACAGAAGGGAACAGAGGGAGCTTGACAATGCAAATATGTCAATCTCCCCCAACATATACATGGAGGTTGTTACTTCTGTTACTGCTTTCAAAGTGGGTTATTTTAGGGGTTTGACTGATCTGTGCATTCCATAACTTTCATTTCTCTCAAACTTACATTTAATTCTTTGAGGAGTGTGTTCTAAAATGCCTAACCTGTTGTGGCTGAAGTAATTATCCCTGTGGGAATTGTGCTCCTGGAGGTGGCTGGCATGTCCCTGCAGCCCCTGAGAAAGTCAGAGCAGGGGGTCCCCACATGCTGCCTTGCCTGTGGACACCACACCTGCAGCTGCCATTGATCAATGATGAAGAACAGTGGCTAGTGAAGGGTATGGGGCTGGAGTCTATAGATAAGGGTCAGTGCATGGAGCCACTGCTGCACTTGCCAGCTGCTTCCAGGAGTGGTGCAGGGCCAGGGCAGGAGTAGGCCTGCCTTGGCTCCATTGCTCCATCCCTGGGGCAGCTGTTTAGTTGCTCCCAGTGTGGGTGGGGCTTGGGGCTGCCTCCCTGGCCTCCCTAGGAGGATGCTCTGTCTCCTAAGCCACTCCAGAACCCACCCCACCTCCTGGGCATCCCTTATCCTGCCTTCCTAATGCAGAAGTCAGCTCCATCCCTGGGGCAACTGATGTTGGCTGCCAGGTTGCTGCTTAAGTGGGTGGAGGGGGGGACTCAAGTCCAACCATCCTGTGCTCTAGCTCCAGAGGCTGATGCCCTATCCCCAGATTCACTGGAGATCTCATCCCACTGACTTACCCTTCAGCTGGTCCTTTATCCTGCTTTCCAAATTCAGGAACCTGGTCCATCCTGGGGCAACTCATGTTGGCTGCTCCCAGGGTGGAGACAGGATTCAAGGCCCCAGTTGTGTGCTCCCCAGGCAAATGCCACATCCTGTAGGCCACTCCAGAATCCAACCCCTTCCTTGCTACCTTCAGAGGGTCCCTTAACCTGTTTTGACAGCCTCCTGTAGTCCTCTCCCTGTTCCAACTTGCTCTCCCCAAAATCCAGCCACTCTGGGGCAGAAAGCTGCTGGGATTCAGCCTTCCCTTGCCTGGCAGTGACAGAAGCCACAGAGAGAGGCCCCAAGCTGACAGACTTGTCCCTCCAAGCTGTCTTCCCTCTCCTGGCTGAGGCAGAGCAGGAGAAGAGAGGCAGGGTTGGTTGGCTCCTAGGTGGGGGAGCAGGGCAAGCAAGGCCCTTGCAGGACACACAGCTGGGCTCTCCACAGAGGAGCCAAACAAGGGCTGAGCCTGAAGGACAAAGGCTTCTGCTAAAGTTGAGAACTGGGTCAGGAACCTTTAGGTTTTCAGGCTAACATTCTCCCAACTGCTCCCCTGCCCCTGCGGCCGCCACTTTTCCATCAGGGATGGCCAGGAGGAAATGGGAGATTCACCCTATGAAGGGGGGCCTGCCTTCCATCCACTCTCCAAAGCTCGGCAGCCAGCATATCATGCTGGGATTGGTAGCCAATCAGTAAAGAGGTGACTGAACTCTCCACTATAGTCCCCTGTAGGCTGCTCACCCAGTCCTGCAGGAAGAATTTAAAACCCACCCACCTCATTAGCATGCAGCAGTGTGCCTGCAGCCCTGCACGAATTAGGTATTTCCTCCAGAGCGTGCCAGCTGCTGTAGCTAGAAGTGGCCTAAAGATGGTGTCTGACTGGATCAGGAGATTGAGGGGTCGAATCCCTTCGCACTGGTAATGGCTTTGCTGTGTCTGGGCCTGTGGGCCTGCTGTCTTCAGCCTGGAAACCTCCTCTCAGCTCCTCTGACCATTGGTCTGGGTCCAGCTGGGCTCTGGGAAGGAGTTGCTGGGCAGGCGGGAGCCCTGGCTGCTCCCACTGAAGCCTTTGCCATTCTGGCCTTGCCAGCAAGAGAAGGGGGCGAGTGTGTGGGGCAGGCCAGTGTGTGGCACAGTTTCTCTTCCCAAATGTGCCCCTGGGTTTGAGGGGGCTTATTTAATAGCATGTCTGGAGCCCTGAGTGCTTCTCTGCTTCTCAATTGTGGGGGAGAAAGCTCTTGGGGCAACATCTCCTGCCACACTGAGCCCCTTGAGGGGGAGTGGCGAGGGGGTCTGCCCCTGCTTTCCTACCATCTCAAGCTGGAGTGTCAGCAGCCACCTACATGCTCGTTGGTGGGGGCCTTTGCTGAGCATTTGGGGAGCCAGAGGGCAGGGAGCAATCTGGCCAGGGGGCCTCTGTGGCTCTGCAGCCACGCATAGGCCTGGCCCTGCCCCCCTCTTACCCTACCTCGGTTGCTCTGTGGCTTCTGAGCTTTCCCTTGGAGCTCTCAGCACCATCCACCCTGCTCAAGGTGCTCAGAGGAGGAAAGACTCCTGAGGGCATAATAAGCCACATTATAAATCACCCCTGGAGCCACAGCAACAGTAGAAGTTCCTCTGCCTCTGCAGCATGTCTAGGGGGAGAAATCACCTTCCAAAGTTAACAGTGAAGAGAGCCAAAGTCCCGTTGTCCCTGGTGCTGGCAGGGGAAGTTCTCCAGAGACTGGTTGGTCACTGCCCAGACCCAGGGAGCAGTGAATTGTCCCTGCGGGTGCAGCTTGGGCAGAGAGAGGCACAGATTTAAACAGAAAATGGACACTTGTATTTGCATGTCTCCTGCCTGATAAGAAACACCAAGTCCCACTCTGAGCGATACCACTGGGTGAAGGTGGGGCTCCAAGACAAGGGGGAAGATCCATTGCTGGAGAAATAAGAATAGATAGATATAGTGATAAATCGATAGGGAGGTGCGTGTGGGACTAGATAGATAGATCAATACTAGCATCCACTCTACAATTGTTATTTGGACAGAAAGTCAAAATAACGGATGGCTTTTTCCAATGGTGCTAAACCTCATTCCATAAGGAATAAGCTCTTTTCTGAAAAAGCTTTTTTTTGGAGGAAGTTGTATGTGGAGGCGGTATAGGGAGTTTTGTCAAAAAAGAGGTGTCCACACTCATCGAAATGCTATAGTTCCTGTTCCCTAGCAGCTCTTAGAGCTGCAGACACAGGGGACAGGGCTTGTGGCAGGAAGTCAGCCCTCAGAGCTTCCAGCCACAGTGCAGCACACATTGCCTGTCATCTGGGCATTAAATCCCAACAATAAGTCCACCAAGAACCTCCTGCCTGTCCCAGGGAGCACTGTCCCAGGAGTCTGCCAGGTGCCATAGCTCCGCTCCAGATGCAGGAATGTGGACATACATGGCTGGATGGCTGAGAGCCTGGCCACAAAGGGCCACACAAGAACCCTGGAGCAGGTTCAGAACAAAGTGAAAGCGCTCTGGCAAGCCTACACCATGGTGAAGGAGTGCAGCTCACACTCTAGGGCAGGACCCCACTTCTGTCTAGGATTTTGATGACCTGGGGGACATGCAGCCCCTTCACCTGTCGGTGGTGGACTAGGGACTAGAGATGCCTGTTGTTGCCTGTCTGGGGGTCACAGCCCACGAGGAGGAGAAAACAGAGAGCACGGTGACCACCATCATCCTGCAGCCAGTACCCCTTGGCCTGGATTCTCCCAGGCATCCTCCAAGGCCAGGAAGGAATCATCAGGTGAGTGCTCTTAGTTTTTCACACACACTAGATGGGAGTGGTGGGCGCTGAGATACTGTGGTATAATCGTCACTTGGCCTGGCCATCTCACTGCAGTGTGTGCACATGAATGCATGTGCAACACCAGTCTGCACCATGCAGTCCCGGGAGACAGCACCAGAGCACCCCTAGGCTCCTGCTCACAGGCTCTGGGGAGGCCACCTACACATCTGACCCTCTCACCACAAGCCACTGCTGGAAGGAGGCGGGGGACAAGGGCACACTCATGCATGCACACAGACTCTGGAGTGCCACACGTGACACGTAGGCAGGATTGCATGCTCAAGGCAGCACCGCTCCCAGGGACAGGACTGCCAGGTGCAGGAGTGTGTGTGCAGCCCCAGTAGAAGCCCAGGCAGCTTGAGGCCCCTCTTCTGCCCATTGGATCCCAGCATGGCTGTTCATTTCCCATTGCCTGCTTGTGCGTGGGTTGGGGGTGGGAAGCATGGTCCCATGGG